GCGGCAGGGCCCCGGGACACGCACCCCGGCACGCGCGGCAGGGCCCCGGGACGCGCACCTTCACAGCAGTCCTGCCACACGCGCAGGTCCACCCTGGGGACTTCGTCACAGCTGCCGTACCCGTGGGGGAACTCCGCCACGCGGAACACGTCCCTCTGCACACGCGTGATGTTGTCCGCGTTGTCACACAGGATTCTGGCCAGGGACGTCTGCTTGATCTGGGTCAGTTGCGCCGGGGAGAACACCCCCGGGTTTTCATACCATAACCTGTGCTTCCCCAGGACGAGAGAAGAGCAGACACAGGGAGGTGAATCCAAACATTCCCCAACCAGTTCTGCCAACAGGACGGACATCACCGGTGTCAACTGGGTTTCACTCACGGAGGGACTCAGACACGGCTCAGCTTCCTACTCAAGAAACAAAACAAAAAACCTGGACTAAAATCGGCAGAGGGTCAGCTGCCCTGAGAAGCCAGCAGAGTCCTCTGTTAGAAACCAGGGCGTGGCGCACAGCCCGGGCGGACGCATGGGGGGCCTTCCCTATGTTAAACTACACTGATGACGCCACATTAAACCTGAAACGTTGCAGTCTTGCCAGAAGTTCAAATTCCTCCAAACTCCCACAGTGGCTGAACCCTGTGAATTGTCTGTTCCCAGAAACAGAAGTGTCCTAAGTGGAAGGACACAAAAGCACCCGAGAACAGAGTCATGTAATTCTCGGGCTGCGGTGGGAGGGAAGTCCCCACACCAGGGACTTGATCACAAACACAGTGAGAGGTAAAGACACTCCTTCACTTTTGACCTGGACACAGACCTCCACCAACGGCTCATCTCCCTGAGTCCCCAGAAATGTGCATTCAAGAGCAGAGGTGGCTCCTGCCGTCACCTGTCCCCGCGGCACCTGCGTTTACCTGTCCCCATCTCTCAAGCGCTTGAACTGCGTGCTCAGCAGGCACATCAGGGTGGGCCCCAGTCGGCTGCCGGGGACCAAGTCTTCCACCATGAGGGCAGGGAATAAGTCAATGTTGAGTGGAGACCCATACAACCTGCAAAACAAACAAGTGAAACCTTAAATTTGCCTAAGAAAGCGGTAGGTAGTAGATAAAACAAATATGAAAAAAGCCCTCATTTTTTATTATTATTTAGCACCTTTCAGACCTTCTGTTAGCAAAGAAAATTCACTTTTGTTTAAGCATCTATACATTTTATTAACATATATTATTTGTTTCAGGGATACAGGTCTGTGATTCAACAGTCTTACACAATTCACAGTGCTCACCATAGCACATACCCTCCCCAATGTCCATCACCCAGCCACCCCATCCCTCCCACCCC